AAAACACACACAACAACAAAAAACTGTTGTTCTTTCTTTTATCTTTAGATCACCAAGCTATGTTTTTTTTTATTATTCTGTTATAGTTATATTTGTCAGCCCCAATCAGGAACTGACATTGTATTAGTGGAAACTTTGTTTGTTTTGTTCTCAACAAGGGGGATGACGTAGCAGTTTAGATTTCGCTACGTGTTTAAGCTATACTTTATGTAAGCGGAGTTCTGGTGTCACTGGATAGCACAATAGCACATGTAAAACTAGAGTGTGCAAACCGTACAATAAAGGTTGATCTTCTGTGAGTAATAGCGCAGAGTATACTTCAGTCTACTATGTTCATTATGTTATAAACGCTAACACATTCCTTATTGGCTTTTTTCTTATTTGTATTTGCTTTTTTTTCTACGACAACTTTTTTGCAAATAGGTTCTGTCTTTGTCTCTTCTTATATATTTTAAGTCAATCGAATTTTCTTATGTTGGTATCCACCGACTATGGAAACAAAAAAAATAAGTCTTCTTAAAACTGACCTATATCTATATCCTAATCTTGAACGGTAACACTTCAGGAAATGTTCCTATTTTAAAATGGAAGCGTTTTACTCTTTCAATCTCCTCTCGTGAAAAAAAAGAGAAAAAAAAAAAACATACACACACTGTTCCCTCTCTTCCTCCTCTCCAGAACAAAAACAAAAAAACAGCAACAAAAAAATTTATTGTTAACGCCTATTGAAGTTATTTGACAGTGCTGAATTCATGAAACAGCTCTATTCTTAGAATTAATCATTCAAATACAACGGGACTATAACTATAACTATAACTAATGATAAGAGTCATTTGCAGACTTCAAATAATCAAAGATACAACAATATACGGTAATGATGTAACTACCTGGCGAAGAGTAACATGATGAGCCCAATTGCAGATCTTGCACTTCTTTGCGTGTAGTGCTCGAGGGGTGATTGATGGTATTCATGACAAACACAAAAAAAGGAATACTTTTGTCATCCTCATAAATGAAATTATCACTCGATGGATTTTTCCCCCATTTTCATTGGCTGGGAGACCACCACGTGACCTGCAAATAACTGCCTACAAATAATGGTCTGTTCATGCGTACTACCGTCTAAATCCGTTTTTGCTGCAAATAATATTCTGCCGATGCGCAGTAGTAACCACGCTCTTGTGGTCGCTCTTGTGGGTAAACATTATCAGATTCGTTGAACAACAAGAAGACCGTAACAACCACTTTGTAGCTGAGAGTGCACTGCAACCACTTCTCACAGCCTCTCAGGAAGAGCATATTCTAAATGAGCTAAGTATCGAGCAATCTAACACGCAGCATCCTGAACACATCTAACACGTGGCATCCTGAACACCCGAAATTAACTACTGCAATACTCTTTGAGAGAGTTTGGAGAATCACAGTACCCGATAATTCAAAATATCAGGTTTTTGCATGGTCTGCTCTTTTTATAGAATGCATCTATCGACAAAGTTCGTTTGACGTTTCGAATTTTGAATTTTGAATATTTATCGCCAACGAGAATTTATCATGGCTGCGAAGGGAACCCGGCGCAAGGTGAATAGCAAGATTTAATGGACAGATAAAATGAAAGATGATTTATCGGAATGTAAACAGAAAGCTCTGAATTTGACCGAGTCAAGCAACCTCAAGACGTCAGGAGAGATTCTGCTCATTTATTTCGACCTGGAAGATCACAATTTCTGGTTTCTGTTCCCGAACATGTTCAAGTAACGATTGCAAAACAACATGAGCGAAAGAAGAAATTTCTCTCCTCGTCGATCAGTTATTATCCGAATGCTACTTCTCGTTTCCAGATCAACAGGATAAGTATAAGTGGTGATGTAGCCATTAACCCTGGCCCTCAAACAGCAGCATCTAATACGACTAAGGACAAATGCTCGATTTGCTCGAGAAGAGTCGCTTCGAACCACCGTGCCATTGAATGTGACAACTGCTTACAATGGTGCCATATCAAATGCGGTTCAGTTACCCCTCGCGAATACGAACAAATGATCAATTTGGAAAATCTTTCCTGGTTTTGCGCGAAGTGTATGTTACTGCAGCAGTCTTCTGACTATAAGCAGGAGAACCTGGAAGATGGCGACTTCGCTAGCGGTCTCGGATCAAGGAGATGATCCTTTCTTTGTCTCATTTGAATCAACAACTTGGTGACAGGAATTTGAAAATTGCTCATCTTAACATCAATGGTTTACTAAATAAGCTACCAGAAGTCCAAAATATTTTAGATCAAGTTAGTTTTGATATCCTGGGCATCTCGGAAACCCATTTAAGAGAAGATATTCCAGATGAATGGATTAATGTCAATGGATACAGCTTTGTGAGAAGAGATCGTGATTCAGTTCCTGGAGGAGCTGTCTTAATATATATTCAAAGCGAACCTCACTGCTTATTTGGTAACCCGTTGGAACTGCACCCACCTAGAAGCGACATGGTTGAATGTAACAATAAGATCACAATCTTTCCTGATAGGATGCATTTATAGACCACCTCAAGAGTCCTTATTTTTCAATCATTTTAGGAACGTGCTAGAAAACATCTGGCTAAGAAGGAAAAATATTATTATTTTGGGTGACTTCAATTCTGACACGTTAAAAGGATCAAGTAATACTGAATCTCAATATGGAAAAAGGCTGGAAAGGATAATTTCCTCTTTTGGTCTTAAAAACATTATGTCCTGTCCGTCAAGAATCACAGTTACTTCAAAGTCTCTCATTGACCTCATCATCACCAGCCAACCAGCTAAAGTGAAAACCTCTGCAGCTGGTGCAATTGATCTTGGTATTTCTGATCACCACTTAGTATTTGCCGTCTTTATGACTACTAGTGCTAATCCTAAACCCAAGTATATAACAACTAAAGCTTATAAATCACTTGACATCAATCAATTTAGGAATGATATGGAACATGCGCCATGGCAATTAGCTGGTATTTTTGACGACGTCCACGATAGCTTGTACCTGTGGGACTATTTATATAAGGATATAGTCAACCATCACCTCCCAACTAGGAATGTTAAAATAAGATCCAAATCTTTACCCTGGATTTCTACTTACATAAGGAAGCAAATAAATCTTCGCTACAAGCTACTTAAAGAAGCCAAGTCATCTCAAGATCAAGTCAAATGGGAATTATATAAATCCAAGAGAAATGAAGTGAAAAAATTGTTAAAACAAGTGGAAGCTGCTTATTGGAAACAGGAATTTATGAATTCTAAAGATCCTAAGCAATTTTGGAAACTAATCAACAAGGTTCTAAGGAAAAGTAAGGATAGTACTATTGGTCCCATAATAACTGACAGTAAAGATGTATTAACAGTGATCCAGAAAAAGCTTCTTACTTTAATGAGTTCTTTATTAATATCAGTACAGAACTTACAAAGAATTTAGAACCTCTAGATCCAAACACCTTAACTTCTTATGTAACAAGAGTCACTCCTACAAGTTGCGACATAGAGTTAAATTGGGAGCTAGTGAAGACGAAAATTGAAAAATCATCAAATCCGAATAAAGCTACTGGACCGGACCTAGTTTCACCCAAGGACCTTTAACTCCTTGGGGAATCTTCTATCCATAGCCTGATGCCAGTTTTCAAGAAAAGTATAGATGATGCAGTTTTTCCAACAAAATGGAAACTCTCACGTGTTGAGCCAGTATTTAAAAAGGGAGCACCCACTGATATGAGCAACTTTAGGCCCATATCTCTCTTAATTATTCCAGGAAAGATTCTTGAAGACATGATAAGAAATAGCATAGACATTCACATTGAAGCTCAGAACCTGCTTAGTGGCAATCAATGGGACTTTCGCAAAAATCACTCTTCAGAGGGTCTCCTTCTTCATCTTACTGACACTTGGAAGTGGGCCCTAGATGAAAATCTCAAAGTTGGTGTTCTGTTTATAGACTTCAGGAAGGCCTTTGACTCGGTGAACCATACCATCCTATTACAAAAGTTCAAAGCTGTTGGTATATCAGGGAATTTACTATCTTGGATGGGAAGCTACCTGCTAAATCGTAACCAATTTGTTCAAGTTAATGAAGTGAAATCAGACACTAGCTCTAACATGTTTGGAGTACCACAAGGGTCAATCTTAGGACCCAAACTGTTTTCTCTTTCGTGCACAATGCAAAACGTGTCCTTTCATCCACAACACTGATAAAATATCGGGACCTAAACGATCCATTAAGATCACCGATCACTTCACGTGCACCTCCGCCAATGTAATCTATTGCATAACTTGCACTTATTGCAAAAAGATATACATCGGCGAAACAGGCAGAAGACTAGGTGACCGATTCCGAGAACACCTTCGAGACGTGGAAAGGAATGACAAGGACACATCGAAACCAGTCGCTAGACATTTTAATTTACCTAATCATTCTAAGCAACATATGGCAATCTGCGGTCTTTCCTT